CAAAAATTGCCAATCTTTTCAAATTTCACATTGCCATTTCAATAATTCTAACAGGGAAAGAGCCATGAACTTTCACAGCTTACCTTTCTGTGAAGTGATCTTTAATTCATATTTGTCATCTCTGAAATGCGTTGGACCACAAGGCCTAAGAATTGCTTAGGAATGAGAATAATTTCCATCACAGCTGAAAGCTTGTGTAAAATGTAGACAACAATAGCTCTGGTGAAACTTACAACATTTCAGTGTCTCAGCATAATAAAACTTGGGAAGCACAGAGTCCAGTAATTAACTTTATTTATTTTTTGAAACACATATCTACACTGCTTAACATTTAAAAATGTCTATATGGTATACAAAAATATGACATATGGATTCATTCATTCATATACCTACTACTTAGAACTGTAGGATAGCGCTACAGGACAGTAGTTCCTGTACTTCGTCATGTGTGAGAGAAAGGGAATTCATTTATGACAGAATAGTCTTCTACTCATAGTTCCGAGGTCCTATCCTCTGCACATATTCCAGGATCGAGCCCTAGACTAAAAACAGATCTCTAAGCTGAAGCCCTGCTTAAGTTTCACTGGCATCGTCTGTGGTTGTCAAAATGCTCTCTAGATGCTGTATATAGCAATTGATCAAGCACATAATTGCCAGGAGCAAAGGCTTAAGGGATCAGATTGTAACTCCCCCACTCTCTTTAAGAAAGCAACTGTGTTCTATTAAGAATTGCTGTTTTCCTTACCTTCATTTCCTTCTCTTATTGGAAAAGGCCATTCTAATTGTGGCTCTCCCTAACAGCTTCCTTGCAGAATGACATATGCACATGGTAGTTGACTTGGTTTATCCACAGCAAGCACACCTACAGGCAGCTTCCTACATAGCCTGCATCCCCCCCCCCCGAATTTATGAACTTTTTAGCTGTGCAAGTGTAAAACCAGAGTGAATAGCAAAATATGGGTTAATCTGTTGCACTGTTGTGATTTGGCCTCTCCACTCTTTTTTTTTTTTAAGGTCTATTATGAATATTTTGGTTTAAATGTGTGGTTAATGTAGCATTCTGATTTGGGTAGCTAATATATCTTGCAAAAGGGAGCATGTAAAATACAATGCAACCCAGAAGTATATTGCCAATTCTTTCCCGGGAAACAAACACCCAAAATAGCACAATGTCAAATACTGTTTGCATATGCTTGCCTAACATGTCCGATGCATTTGTGTTTATTCGGCCACATTGATATGTGACTTATCTTGCAAAATGTAAAAATACTGTTTTTAAAAATATCCATTTAATCTGCATGCAGCCATTCAGAATTAGCGTCTGAGGCTCATCCTCAGTTGTTGCACTAGATTCTGTATCCACTTGACTTCTGCAGCCAGAAAGAATCTGGTAATTCTAATTTAGTTATGTTTACCTGTCCCACAATCTAATCTTTCTGATGGGATGCTAATTTCCCCTCCTCTCCACTTCCAATTCAGTGGATAAAGACAAACAGTTTCCATTTATCTACAAGGAAAAGCAATACAAAATACTTTCCTTAACCATTCTGCTTTGGAGGAATCTAGCAGCTTCAGGGATAGTTCTGAACAGGAAAATAGCGTGGGAAGCAACCTCACTTCCAACATTGCACTTCTGATCCAGATTAGAGACCCACATAGATTTTTTTCCCCTGCAAGAGAGATGTGATGAATCCGAAATATACAATTTAAAACACTGTGTTAACATAACACCTAGTTTGACCCTTAGGAGGGCAAGCTTCTGCAGTTTGTCTACAAAGTCACTTCATGCTATTTGGAATCAGACCATTCATTCTTCCTGTGCAAGATTTGGTGACTCTCTGGGCTGTAACAATCCATTCCACTCATACAGCCAGATCGCAAAGGGTGTTAAAGGTAACTTCTAACACGGGTGCATAATTATGACCATTGTCTGCAAGGATGAGAGGCACCTCTATCCCATGGTTGACATTCTTTGCAAAGGGGGTGGATAGGGCCGATCGAAAGCTCTGGATAGCAGAAATCGTTTTTAAGAAAACCAATGATACGACAAAGAATATCACCTCGCTGGTTGTATAATGCAGGGAACCTTTTAAGTTTCTCTTAGCAGTAGTCCCCCATGTGGTGGGGCATAAGCTGTGCCAGCCTCCTGATTGGTGTTGCTACATCTAACCTGAATGCTATAGGCTGGGCAGAGTGGTGGTGAGGTGAGTACTCTGGTAGAAGGCTCCTACAAGTGCAACACCACCCCCCACACCAGGCAGGGGGTGCAATTTGAATAAAGTATTGAGGGACAGGTAAGCCCCACCCCACATAATCAATCACATGGTGTGGTGCACATGCACCATTTGAATGGCAATGCCCATCAACTTGGGGAGAGGGGCAGCCTCCTTAAATATTTTATTGGAGGGATGAAGCCCCTTTGGCCTCTAGGAGTTGGCTCCTACATCACCAGGTAAGCTGCAGCGATACTGGTGTGGGTGAAGGGCTGCTACTGTCTTTTCACCCACCCTCTGGGAGTCATATGCCAGTGGCTGGTGTGGCCAAAGTGGTGGAGACCACCACCTCCAGGCATCCACATCAAAACATGCGCCCAGTTAATGGGGTCTACGTGAGCATTGTGATCATATGTATCCAGATGCATCTGCATGCACAAGCCTACTACCATGGACAGGGGTGAATGCACTTGAGGTCAAACGTTTGTGTTTGTGTGTAAAACTAGTTTTTCTTATAGTCCATGATCACTCTTAACCAGGAAGAAGGTGTGGTTTCTGCTCCTCTCCTCAATTTTATGAGAAACTTACCACTGACTTCAGTGGGAATTAAGATCAGTTTCTGCGTTGCAAAATGTAAAGCATTAAGGCAACCTTTATGTAAAAGTCATTAGATCAGAGTGTGGTGCGTTTTCCCTTTCCTGTGGGATATATGCATACCACCTTGATTGGAAATGGATGACACATTTAATCTGATGGAATAGTTAAGAGGGACTTTTAAAACAATGAGCATTAGCCACTTAGTCCGTTTGGTAAATCCTAATAATTAAAACTGCATGTGGAGTAATGATTACGGCTATTCCAGATATCGAAGAGGAAAGAGATGCACCCGTGATGTGTCGTGGCACTACCTTAATGAAAACATTTAGTTAATGGAGGATCTATGTCACAACAGTGAGCACACTGAACCTGCAAGTGGGGGCGGGGGGGGGGGAGACAAACACATTTCCCAGCAGAATCTCACATCACAATTCATTAGGAAAACTCTGCAACAACTGATGAGATAGGCACAAAATGGATTTCCATATTGCTGGACTGAATCATGGCTCCCAGCAATTAATGCTTTTTGTCATATTAAGCAGATAAATAATGCTATCTGACATTACAGTATTTCACATTACAGTAAAATTTTGTAGCTTTTGCTCGTAATCGGACTTGATATATGTTACCTAGAAAAAAATATGTTATCTCTGGAACAGTCAAACCCCATTAGAACCCTAATGCTTGAAAAATCACAATGTTAACAGCTATGTCCCCTAGCAAAGGTTTGCTTTCCTTAAATAGTGTTAAATTTAAACCCAGGAGCCCTAGTCTCTTTTAGAGTTACTCTTGCTCGGTGCATTGAGCTTGAAAGGAGAATTTAGTACACTGCACATATTCACTGTTACTGAAGTTGCAGAAAGCATGCAGTAGTAACAGCTGCGTGCCTGTTTATTGCTTTGTGGGTCACCAGTGCTAGTTTCCAGTTGAAACAGATTGTACATAAGTATGAATTACCAAAATATTTCAAGGTTAGTCCAATAAGGAAATGTGATTTACTCCTTTAAAAAAAATCACCTTACACTATAACCAAGGCTCCAATGTTTTACTGAAGTGATTAAAATCCAAAATTAATTGGATTCCCCCCCACTGCCTTTTTGGGATCTTCTGGTAGCAGCTCCTTACACCAATCTTCAGGGGCACGCACATTTGAGTGGGGGCTGAACACATGGGGATCTGGTAGGCCAGGACAATGAAAAGCTCCAGCATGCCTAACACCTATTGTGCAGAGAATGGTCTAGAGCCAGTGTGGTGTAGTGGTTAAGAGCGGTGGACTTGTAATCTGGTGAACCGGGTTCGCGTCTCCGCTCCTCCACATGCAGCTGCTGGGTGACCTTGGGCCAGTCACACTTCTCTGAAGTTTCTCAGCCCCACTCACCTCACAGAGTGTTTGTTGTGGGGGAGGAAGGGAAAGGAGATTGTGAGCCGCTTTGAGACTCCTTAGGGTAGTGATAAAGCGGGATATCAAATCCAAACTCTTCTTCTTCTTCTAGTAAATAAATCCATGAGGCTATTTTACTGTTTAAATTAAGTAAGCATCACCTTACTTAAGGCTCAAACAAGAATCTGTCAGTGAGCCCTCTCTAAAAACCCTCTTTCCACTCTATACGGCTGCTTTGAGCATCTCCAAACCTATATGGGACCTACATCAGGGAGCTACAGCCAATTAAGCATCCCTAGCAAGATTCTACAAATTGTGGTTGGGCTTGGTAACCATTCTTTGGTTAGCCTAGCTAGTAATCTTCAGCTTTCTCGCTTCCACAGAGTGTATCCCCTTATTGTACCCATTGCTCAGAAAAAAGTGTGAGTTTCTTGCAGCCGGGGGGGGGGGAGCAGTGGTGTTTGCAGCGATTCCACTTCTCACCTTCATGTCACTAACAGTGCATTTCACAAAATGCAGCTTTGTGCCATTTTTGAAAGAGGCACTCTTAGTCTAGTCTGCAGATGGGGGGGGGAGAAATGGGAAAAAGTATTACTCTTACACAGCAGTAGTAAACAGCTCTCAGGGATGAGCAAGGGCTAAACCCTGCCCCTTGATATATAAATTACATTGCATGTTAACATTCTTATGCTGTATGTTTCCTCCCCACTTGATATCACAGGCAGGAAAATTTCATCCGGACATGAGCAAACTAGCATTTTAAGATTTTGTATGAAACCCTTCTTCATTCCCACTTTAAGACCTTTAAATTATCCAAAAGATGTAATATTTTTTATCGTTTGTATCTTCAAGTCAATACAGGCAAAAATGCAATTGTATCATATGCAACAGCTCATATGCATTCTGAAATACAGCTCCTCTCTAAGCCCCTAAATTAAAAGCTTTTATTAGCTGATAGCATAAAACCTCCTTAAAGTGGCAATGCATATGTATATACACACATACAACAAACTCAGAACAACAAACTGCTGTATAGCCTCTCTGGAAATTCAATACAAAGTTCAAAGGCTCTTGAATGCTCACAAAAGGCCCAGTTTGGAAATGCGGTGTGTCTTCATTTCCACTGTGAAACGACTGCTATCCACCCATAATATTTGGCAAAAACCCACTTCATAAATATGAAGTGGATTGCTCTACCAAACAACAGGGAAAGTGTAGAAAGCAGCAGCTCTGCCGTTTGAACAGAAACATCACACCGTGTGGCAATGCTGTCTTTCAAATGCCAATGAGATTTATTGGTTGTAATTTAGGACGAAGCCAAGGCAGGAGCTTCCAACCATTCATATAGTTCCCTCCACCCAGGGCTTCTCCATCTGCAAGGGAATGTGAAAGCCACCACTGCCATGGAAGTGGATGGGAAGCCCAAACTCTGTACACATGGAAATCCCAAGGGAGGAAAGCGCTGTTGCATTTGGGTCCTGCATCAAGGCTTCCCATAGGCATCTGGTTAGCCTCTGCAAGAACAGGATGCTGGAACAGATGGCCTGATTCAGTACAGTTCTTCTTCTGTCCTTATGAAAAAGTCTCCTCTATCAAAGGAAACCAGCATGTCAGGAAGACTATCCTACCTATTGTGCAATCCTGCATGCGCCTACTCAGAAGTCCCACCGAGTTTAACAGGAGTTACTCCCAGCTAGACGTGTACAGAATTGCAGCCTGACATTTTTGAATGTGTTATGAGGGAGCACTGAACCATTAGCAACCTGCCACACACACACCTGCAGTGTGATACACTGTGGGTCAACAACATACAAGGGTATCCTATGAGGCTACTCATCTTCCATACTACATTTTACAAGCTAAGTCTCACCAATGTCAGTGAGAATTCCAGGTCTGAGTATTTATGGCTGAGGTGAAAGTGTATCAAAAGCTATGACTGAAAAGTGCATCCTCAAAATTATACTGAAATGTATAATAAAAATGTGCAATTAAAAAAGTGGTAAACCTATTGTATATTCAACAATGCTAAAAATAGCCTTATTAAAAATATAATCTGCTAAAATAGCCACTATTACTTTGGTTATATACAGGAAAACATGACCCAAGTCTCTAGTGTATTTGCTTTTCAAAAAACATCATAGCTCATCATGGTTTTTTGTGAGGTCTTCTCCATAATTTGTTGCTTGGCTTCCAACAAACATATTCCAGTTGTCCAGAATCTCTTCTTTGGTTAACATGTGGTCCTGGAGGGGGTGGAAATGAAAATCTTTAGTATAATCTAAACTGAGCTTCTATTAAAGGGTTTGAGTGCTGTGTCTAAAAACAACAGAACTTTATTCTGCTCTGTGATTCACTAAGAGAAGACCCTCATGGCATGAGGCAATATACTCATAAGCTGTATTTACTCAAAGAGTGGGCAACATAAGCACTCTTAACCAAATGTCAGTAGAGCTCTGAGGTTTACCAAAGTATAAAAGTATCTAGTGACACACACACCCATCCCCGCCAAAATTAAATAAATGAAGACTATGTGTCCTCAGAATGCTGACAAGACTGTTGGCCAAAACCCCCGAAGATGGAATAGTGTCCTGGAGGGGGACATGGCAGACTGACTCGAACACTAAACAAGAGCGCTCTTTTGAAATTTGTAGTGGAGGCTGGTCTATTATCCTGGACTATCTTATGTCAATTTTAGGCTGCCCTTGGATTTTTTAAACATATTAGTTTTGTGTTTGTAGGATTTAACTTTATAAATTTATAAAGTTTATAAAGATTTTACTTTATCAAGTTTCATTGCTAGAATCTGTTTCTCTTATATGCTGGATAGGCATGGATGTGGGAGAAGGCAGGGAATATAAACATATCAATCAAATAACACACCCAGACCCAGCCTACACCACTATCTTTCGTATTTCTTGTTGCAGAGTGGGGAGTGTCTCTAAAACTATCAAGCCCAGTCCCCTTCTGTATTATGGAGTTTGATGTGAATATCTGGGCTCCTCCAGCATAAAATGTTTCCCCATTCATTACAATGGGAGGATTAGAACATGGAAAAAGAGCCCTGCTGGATCAGATATAAAGGCCCATGTAGTTTTTTCTGCTGCCGCTCACCAAGAACTAGTAATCCAAAGGCATATATGGAGGTAGCATATAGGTATCATGAAAAAAGTTCTGTGGAATTTATCTGCACACTTCCACTGATATGAAAAGTTAATACAGCACACAGAATTCTATGCAAATATGACCACACATTGATCTCAGAATTAGAACACTTAATGTAAATTCTTATCATTTGGGTCAAACATTTGGATCTCTCCCACTTCCACCATACCTTTTCTGTGTTTCGTGAATGATCAGCGGGTGGCATTAACATTACCACGTTTATATCAATTTTTTTAGTGATCTCCTTACAGAGTCCTTAAGGTTTGACTCTTGGTAGGCTGACATTATATAAAAAGGCAGCAAGTAAAGCAATAATCTACCATTCATGAACTCTGTGAAAGAACTAAGTACCTTGTCGACATCCGACTCATATACTAAGTGTCTGGCTTCGGCTTGTGCATGATCATAGTCTTGTGGGAGAATCCAGTGTCGTATCTCCTCTTTATCCATCTTCCCATCCTTGTTGAGATCCCGAAAATCTGCAAACTGCTCCCGTTCAGTTATTACCCAGTCAGGTTCTGGACCACCATCTTCATGCGCAAACATATCAGCTGAGAGGAAACAGTATCATGTTTATTATTTATTGTTATCTGTTACACTTTCTTCCATTCTTAGCCTCTCCTGGTTATAAATCCTGGGGAGGGGAGGCTTCACTCTAAATACTTTCACAATGATGCTCTCTATGCCTATTTTGTGTTTGCTTGGTGGTAGGCCTTTATCTCGTCTTTATCTTCATTCAGCATTTTGCTGTGCCAGCTGCTGTCAGGGCAATAATGCCAATCACCACCATAAGGAGGTAATGCCCACAAGCTTAAATATCTCACACAACTTATATACATTGTTCCCTTTCCTAGAAGCTAGATCTGCTACTCTGATCTTCAATTTCCTCTCCACAACAAAGCAGTAGGCCACATGAAGAGCAGGATATAATGTAAGATGATGCAAGGCCAATAAATACAATTTAGTAGGTAATTTTGAGTGCATCTTTGGAGATACAAGTCATTATATATGGTGTATTAGAAAGAGGTGTCTTTTTCCAGCTATCCACTGCATAAATTACCCTCGTGAAGACAGATGGAACACTGCTATGAGTTACCTATTGAATTATGACTTATCAGCCTATACCTTCACTGTTATCACTACGCCCATACCATTCAATAACTGTTCTGCTACCTCAAGGGAGGGGAAGCTTTTCCAGCTCACCAGGCCTCTCTTTTCTCCATCTAGACAAGCAAGAGGCATTAGCAAAGTTCAAGGACATATTCCAGCCAGGGAACAACATTCAGGGTGAAAAGCAAGGCTCAGTGAGGGGTGTGGCCTGAAGAAAGTTCCAGGGGCCATATAAGGAGGCCTAAAGGGCCACATTAGGTACAGGCCTGGGCTTGCTCACTTCTGCATTACCTTATCAAGACCTGCCAGAAAAGATGGAGAGCAATGCTCCAGCCCAACACCTCAAGAAAAGCTGCATTCCCATCACACCATCTACTTTGGGCACAATTAACTTGGCCTTGAATATCACTGCTCACCTATAAAGAATGAGAACTGCCTCCAGATAAGCAGGCACAAACATCTTCTACATGTACAGAGTTTGTTTGTTTGTTTCATGCTGCTGATATACCACAAATGATTTACATCAGGATTTTCGTCGGTGGGCAGTCTAGTAAAAAGTGATGTGGGCTTTTAACTTTTGTCAACGTATTTGTAATGCTCAATTAAGCCATACGATGGTGGTAATGAAAACCGACGTGGAGGCTGATGGTATCTGTCAGACTTTGAGATCTACATGGGGATTATCCCCCTGGCCATTGGCAAGCTTATACAGCCTTAGTGCTGTTGAAAGTTAATACAAAAAAACCAAACGAACCAATATCTAGGCCCAGTCCAGCTGCTGGCCAAAGTGGCAAAAGTCTTTGCATAAAGAAGGAGTATCTTCTTCTCTCCTCCACACATGTAAAAGAATGACAGTGGTTCTGTAGACAAGGAAGGTGGAATCTCATAATTTCTCATAATGTTCCTCCCAATGTACAAGAATTAAGAGAATTCATCAAAACCAGTCCAGTGAATAGACTAAGCAGACTAAGGGCTCCATCATAAAACAAGCTAAACTACAATTGGACTTTCCAGTTTAGCCAAATACCTGGGCAAAGCAAATAAGGACATATAGATTACTAAAACAATGAAATGGCCTCAGCAACATTTTGCATTCTGTCTCACACCAGGGATTGTCCACTCACTCCTCGTTTCTCATGCTCACGAGCAACTGACCCAGGTTCTTGCCTTCAGTGGCTCAAATAGTTACAAGCACCCTCAGCAAAAGCCCCCCACCCTCTTTTTCTACAAAGACAAAAAACTGCATCTCTATTTTGGTTTTTACTATTAGAGTTGTATTTGTTATGCTATCTATGTGGCATTTTGATAAGGTTCCATATTGCTTTATCACCTTTTGTTATTCATCCTGATGGAGAAACGTATATTTTTTTTAAAATAAAATGTAAAGGAGAACTTTGGCCCTAATGCCTTTCACTCAGTAGGTTTCTTCTAAGGCTGGAGAAGTCACAACTCTTTCAAGATCCCCTCTTACGATGCAATCACAATCTTTTATGCTAGGTTCAGAAGTATGGGAAGAAAAAGGACCCAGAGCAACATTGCATCTTGTCTCTGCCAGCAAGTGTCTGTGTGAATAACATCAGAATCAAACGAGCAATAGTGGGAAAGGGAATAAAAGGCAAAAGGAAACTTGGGGAAACAAAAATCATCTACATGAAACTGGATGGCTTTTAGAGAGACTTGGGGGGTGGGAGGGAAGCCTCGGTGCCCCAAGAATTACTTCTCTCATATTAACTCCTTAGTACTGAACAACATTAAGCACTCTGTGGCAAATGCCAATGGTGCTTTGAAAAGGCAAGAACATGAGGGGAATCAACAGGGGCCTGCTTCATTGTTATGCATCCAGAACATTCCTTTTTGTAATAGATGGGGTTGACACAACCAGCACTCCAAAGGCGCCCACTTCCACTGAGAGAACCACAGAGGGTACCATGTACTTTGGTAATCTGAGGTCCAAACTAGACATGACAAATGTTGCATGCCTCTTTCTCCCCTTGACTTGGGGAGAAGACTGTCCAAACTAGGCATAATAAAACTTTTTAAATAAAATAATAAATATTGGAAATCCCCTTGCTGCAGCTTACCAATGTATTCATCTTGATCCACAAATCCATCCTCATTTTTGTCTATGTCCTCCAGGGTTTCCTGTCACAATAAGGGAAAAAAGCTGTCATTGCAGAGGTGTATATTTGTTGCCCAAACTGATTATAAAACCATTTCATTCTGAGCTGTCACTTTACATCAAGGGTAAAGTCTTTAACACACACACACACACACACACACACACACACACGGACGGCAATATCAATAATGATATAATATTGACAAAGAGAAAATATTATCCCTAAGCTTAAAAAAATCCCCCAAAAGTAAACCCCCAAACTCATAAAAGTGTATTAATTTAAAAATCCACCAAACAACTAAAATAGAACACATCCTACAAATATATAGAGAGAGATATAGCTTCACAATAAACATTAAGCGATAGGGACTGCTATAAATGAATTAATATCTTATGAAATTAAAGAAAAGCTTATTCTAAGCTTCATAATTAAATATTTAATCTATTGTTTATTTATTTATTTTGTATACCACCCTATGCCCATAGATCTCAGGGTGGTTCACAACATAAAATTAAAAAACAAAGGTCTAGAATAAAAGAATTCTATTCTGTCATCTAAATCATGAATGATGTACCCAGTCCCTACAACTAAGAAAGGCCTGTAGCTTAGTAACCGAGAACATGTTTTACATGCATTAAGTCTTGGGTTAACTCCATGGCATATCCATGCAGGGCTGGGAAAGACTCTTGTCTTGATACCCTTGAGAGCTGCTTCCAGTCAGTGCAGACCAGGGATGGGGAACCTGTGGTCCTCCAGATGTTACTCCCATTATCCCTGCCCATTAGCCATATTATGGGGGAGTCCAAGAACATCTGGAGGGCCACAGGTTCCCCATACCTGGTCCAGAAACTACTGAACCATACAAGGCAGCTTTCTGTGTTCCTAGCAAGTCCCTGAATAAGGGACATCTGAGGAAGAGCGAGGTGGTGATGGGGCACAGGTGACTCCGTAAACCTCATCTCATAGGCCACTACAATGGACCTGCATTGTCTTGCTGAAGCAGTGATGTGCCTGTAAAATCCAGGAGGCTGAAAGGGTTTACCAAAGGCAGGTGCAACAGAAATGCGCAGTTCTGGCTGCATTGACTTACACAGGATGCTGCATTAGCTACAAAATCAGTTTTTAAAAATTCCCCCACACTGTTGTGTCAGCCAATGTAGTATGATAAAATCAGGTTGCTTGTCTGATGGAAGTGCTCAGTAGCACACTTAAAGATGACAACATTCCGGGCAAAACTGGTTCAGGCCTAACCTATCACTTTGCTTCCAAGCTTTCTAGCTATTCATGTGATATTGATCAACATATTAGGGAGGTCACCAAGCAGGTCACGTTTAAATAACCAAAGCAGGATTATTTAAACAGCTTTCCTTCCTGTTGAAATAGCTGGTGACTATTGTCTGGGAAACCTTGCCCTGAAAGATGAGGAAGCCAGCTTTCAAACCTCTTTATTAAACGGAAACCGAAAGAAAGGAGATTGGCTTTTCTGCTGCTTACTAGAACAACAATGTCTTTCATATGCTCAAATTCCTCTGGGTGAAGGAAAGCTGTGAACTCCTCACGAGTGACTTCGGAATCACCATCCAGGTCAGCTCTTTTGAATCTTCTTTCATCCCTGGGCATCATTTTTTTGAAATTGTGCTGCTCTGTTGCATCTTCAAACTCAGCTGGGTTTTCTAGAAAACCAGAATGATAAGACAAGATGGAGACAAACAGGACTGGTGAGTATGTAACAAAGGCCTGAGTGATGCCTACAGATGACATGTAACTTGAATCTGACCTGAACCCTTCTAGAAGTAAGAAATCAGACCAAAGGTCTATCACATGCAGCACTGTGCTTCCAAGAAGATGCCTCTGTGAAGCCCCAAAGCAGGTCTTGAGTGCAATACACGGCTCCTGCTGCCGCTCCCTAGCAACTAGTATCAAAAGCCACCCTCTCTTTAAATCTGGAGGTACTATATAGTGATTGTGGCTAGTAGCCACCAATAGCCTTAATCTCAACAAATTTGTCTAACCCCTTTCAAAGCTAATAAAAACATAGGGAAAGAACACTTGCTATGTCATAATAACTCCAGAAATAATATCAAAACAAGTAAAGTAGTCTCTCTTTTTTCTAAGCAAAGTGAATTTGTGCCCCTGACATGCACAGCTAGTACTCAGATTACAGGTGAGGAACATCTGGCCCCACAGGCCTGGTTATGCGCATCAGAAACCATTTTCCCACCTGGCTCTGCCAAATAAAAGTCCTGCCAGAACTGGTTCCACTCAGGAGTCCCTAACTGCAGGTGAATCCTGCCACAAGCAGGGCTTACTTTCAGCGCTATACATATATAATCTTTGCTTTAGGCATGGAAAGCAGTGCAAGATTCTCCTTTCACATCTGCAGCTGAAAGTGAAGAATCAGGAGCAAACTATGAATTTGCTTCTGATTCTTCCATTGAACTGTGATTTCCTGACATCCTAGGACAGGTGGGCAAACATGTTGGCTATCACTCTGGGATTCCCAAGTATGCCGGTTCAATTTTGTCTCTCAAATTTACTCACCGAGGTAATAGCCATATGTGGCTTGCTTGTATTCTTCCCAAGAAATTTTGTTGTCTTTGTTGAGGTCATAATCCTTCCAGACTTTTGCCACGTTTTCGAAGATGTAGCGTTTCTGCACTCGCTTAATCCAGTTTTTCAGTTCCTCTGTGGTGACGAAGCCATCTTTGTTATCATCAATTCGATTAACAATTTTCCTGCAGGAATGGAAAAAGTAAACTGGATTATTAGAAACTGAAAGATTTCTGCAGGGTTCTCTTGAACAACTATGTTTGCGAGAGACAGGGCTTCCAAATTGTACCTGTGATGACCCATTTCTGAATAAATGACATAGTGTGGTACTCAACTAAGTTGAATACTTAGGAGTAGACACATTGAAATTAATGGACCTTGTTGTTGTTGTTGTTTAGTCGTGTCCGACTCTTCGTGACCCCATGGACCAGAGCACGCCAGGCACTCCTGTCTTCCACTGCCTCCCGCAGTTATGTTCATCATTTCAGTGGGTTTATTCTAAGCAACACTCAGAGTAACACTGGTTGCTAGACACAGATTAGAAGACAGATCAGTAGGAGTCAGAAGAAGTTTCTCCACAGATTTTTATCTTCCAAGAACCACCCTCCCAGGGCCTTTCAAGGTGGGCATTTGGAATAGTTGTTCTCTACTATCTCTCAGAAAGTGTGTTGGGGAAGAGAAGGAGCTTCATGTAGCCAACAACTTATTCTGAGTCACAGTTGGATTGTCCTTGTCATTCTCTGTCAAAAACTCTTCTAATGGAATATTGTTGATCAAGCATGTGGAACTGCCTTTCCACACTTGCTGGAAAATGTGACATTTTCCCACTGTCAGTAGGAGAAAGAAAACCACAGAAACATTCATCATTAGAGAAGAATGTTCTGCTTAGAAATGCAATATGCATGCCACCTCCCCTTCTCTGCTTACTGTAGCAAAATGACACTACTGTATTACAAATTGCAGTTAGCACAGTGTTTAAATCTTCTGCAGCCTACTGTTGCTCAGTGGCAGGCTACAAAGTAGGACTAAAATCCACCTGAAGACTTGGGAAACCATTGACAGTCAGCATAGACAATATTGAACTAGAACTAGATGGACCAAAGGTCTAAACTTTGACCCTAAATAAGACAACTTCCTATGTGTTGCTATGATTTCCCCCTCTTCATACATATCTCTCTTCTCTTCTCTTCTCTGTTCCAATGAGATAGAAAAGGGCTGGCAAGTCAGAGTTAGCATACAAAAGTTAAATTTTCCAAAAAGGCTTTGAATAGAAGGCAAACTTGTATGTGGACTGTCCCACTTCAGACTGTAGTTGGGGGTTCACATGATCAAAAACTTCCATGAGCTCTGATGGAAAAGGGAAGGGGTTGGTATCCCGTATTGATAATTTACTGTATTTTTTCGCCCTATAGGACGCACTTTTCCCCCTCCAAAAATGAAGGGGAAATGTGTGTGCGTCCTATGGGGCGAATGTAGGCTTTCGCTGAAGCCTGGAGAGCGAGGGGGGTCGGTGCACACCGACCCCTCTTGCTCTCCAGGCTTCAGGAAGCTATCCGCTAGCTGTGGGAGACGCAGCTCTCCCACGGCTAGCGGAGAGCTTGCCTGCACCCAGAAGCTTGGGGCGCGCTGAGCTCAGCATGCCCCAAGCTTCGGGCTTCGCGCAGCGCTCCGCTAGCTGTGGGAGAGCCGCGCGGCGTCTCCCACCCCCGGCGTCTCCCACCCCCTCCCCGCGCGACGAGGTGCGTCCTGTGGGCCGGTGCGTCCTATGGGCCGGTGCGTCCTATGGGGCGAAAAATACGGTACTTCTTATCATTGATGTGGACTCTGCAGAGGGCCTGAGACAAATGTGGGAGTCAGACTGGACCATTTTGACTGAATTGCTGGAAATCCTTAATGGTTAAAATTCCCATTTAAATTGGGATCATCAAGCACAAGGGAACAAACATTAAAAATTATGCAAACAATGTATATGACTCCTATGAGACTGTTTCAAATGAAGATATCCAACTTGAGGCTACGTTGGAGAGGATGTAAGGAACCATCATCGTTCCAGCTTATTTGGGGAACTTGTGAAAAAGGGCTGCAGTTTTAGACTGTAGCCTTTGTAGAAATTACTAAAGTGACTGGACAGCAACTATTGAAATTTCTGGAACTGGTCCAAAATATCAAAAGGGACTGTCATTTCAAACCTCTATTTGGTTATTGTCTTGCAGCTGCCCAGTTAGTTTTTGCTCAATATTGGAAGGACCTAAAGGGCACCACGTTACTATTTGTTTGTTTTATTTGTATACTGCCCTTCATCTGAAGATCACAGGGTGGGTCACAACATAAAAATACAGTGGTACCTCGGGTTACATACGCTTCAGGTTACAGACTCCGCTAACCCAGAAATAGTACCTCAGGTTAAGAACTTTGCTTCAGGATGAGAACAGAAATCGTGCTCCGGCGGCACGGCGGCAGCAGGAGGCCCCATTAGCTAAAGTGGTGCAGGTTTAGAACAGTTTCAGGTTAAGAACAGACCTCCGGAACGAATTAAGTACTTAACCCGAGGTACCACTGTAAATAATTGGTAGAAGACAGTTTGGAGAGTTTGGAAAAATTAACAAATAATCCACTTCTGGCTGGAGAAACAAACTATAAAGATTCTTTTGAGGCAGACTAGCACTGTTTTATTGTTTATGCAAGCAAAGATAAAATGCATCTCCCAGCAGCATACAAAACTTTTTGGCTGCTATGAACATTGTGAACTTGAATTTTGATACTTTCTGATGCTTACTTACAGATTGTTTGCTAGTTTGTTTGTTTTTATTTTACCTTAGACTCTCCTTGTCTCCTCTAGGAGATGAGGGCAGGATTGTTCTGTCCTATTAAAATTATGTTAATAAAAACTCTAAAACAAACTAACTTCCATGCACAAAATTAGATGCCAGGGAGGGACATTCTAGCTTAGTTTTCTCCCTGATATCTAGATGTATATTTGCAGGGATTTCTTTTTTTAATGGAAGAGCATTCAGTTATGTAAGTTCCCACTTGCAGTCTGAGGTAGTACAGTGGTACCTCGGGTTAAGTACTTAATTCGTTCCGGAGGTCTGTTCTTAACCTGAAACTGTTCTTAACCTGAGGTACCGCTTTAGCTAATGGGGCCTTCTGCTTCCACCACGCCGCCAGAGCACGATTTCTGTTCTCATCCTGAAGCAAAGTTCTTAACCTGAGGTACTATTTCTGGGTTAGAGGAGTCTGTAACCTGAAGCATCTGTAACCCGAGGTACCACTGTACAGTTAACATGGGACCACCATTTTAACTAAGCCGCAAAGATCAGATCAGATGTAGCAAGCAACAGCAAAAAGCTGGAGACACTGGTTTCAAATAAATGATAGTGGAATGAAAGATTGCTGGACTGTTTTGAAGAAATCTTAATTTCCAACGTGCAGTGCTTATGGATAGTCATGTTGTGAGAAACAAGCTACCAAAGCCAATACGACGATAAGTGCTTGCAACAATTTCCCACAGACTTTTTCAGAGGGACTGGAAGTTGAAGCTCTAATGACCAATCTATGCACTATAATGTTTACCATATGGGGCCAATAAAATTGCCTAAATACAAGATGGCATGAATAATGCAGGAGAAATTATACAGCATAATAAACTCTTCCTTCCATTGGCCTACTCTGTGTTCCGAGTTTGCAAACTGGTGCCGAACAAATTAAGGACATTTTTTTCCTTTTAAGAAAGGCCTGAGTGGGGAACTGGATCTGCAACCCCAGCCTGACAGGTGGGTAGCACCACCAACCTCTCAATCACAATGGCATCAGTTGACCAGATTTTGCCCTGGTTGTTTGTACTGGGAACACCCTAATGGCTTCCCTGCCCCTGTTTTAAGGGATTTAGCAGTGAAGAATAAATAGTGTTTTATTGTGCCTATGCTTTTCACACCGATTTTTACCACTTTACTGCAGATATCATTCCCCCAAATGCAGCGTTAGGTCAGGAGGGAAATCTATTCCTCTTTCTACCCCTAAACCCAGAGTTGGGAAGGGGAAACAGAAGAAACCCCCACCCTACCCCCCAACAACTCAGAGGTGGACAGAAGCAGAGCCTCACTTTGCACCTGTGTGCCAACTGCATTCTGAGCTTGGAGCGCTCACTCATCATTAAGGGAAACCTACACTCCTCTACCTTCCATCCCAGCTCTGAGCTAGTGTGGTGTAATGGTTAGAGTGGTGGACTAGGCCTGCGAAGACCCAGGTTCAAATATCCACTTTGCTGCAAAACACGTTACAGTGGTACCTCGGGTTAAGTACTTAATTCGTTCTGGAGGTCTGTTCTTAACCTGAAACTGTTCTTAACCTGAAGCACCACTTTAGCTAATGGGGCCTCCTGCTGCCACCTTGCCGCCGGAGCCGGATTTCTGTACTTATCCTGAAGCAAAGTTCTTAACCTGAAGCACTATTTCTGGGTTAGCGGAGTGTGTAACCTGAAGCGTATGTAACCTAAAGCGTATGTAACCCGAGTTACCACTGTATATGATCTTGGGCCAGTCAATCCAGTCACTCAAAGGATTGATTTGCAGATAAACACGATGCAGGCTTGAGCTCCTTAGAGGAAAAAGCAGGAGTATAATAATAAAATAAATCAATAGGATTGCAGGGGGGATTGTTCTAGTCGATATGGGTGTGACACACACCCAAACTGATACTGGATTGGCAAAGTAGAGCAATTAAATGAACCTTAAAAAGGGGCAAATGTTTTCTGTAGTGATCTGAGCACTCTCAGACTCTGTTCACCCAAGTCCAATAGTGCCCAACTCATCTATAAACTCCAACTCATCAGTCTTCCTTTAAAACTTTTTGGCATTAGTATGACAACTTTCAAGTCAGTTACTAAACTTCAAGAGGGACCGAAAAGCTTCCTACTGATTTCTAAAAGATAGTTTTGGGGGTTTTTTAATGAAAATTTGCCCATTCATTATCAGTACATTACAACTGAGTTGGGAATGGGGCACACCTGCTTGGATTAGGATTTCTTTTACCCTTGTCACCAGACCTTGTTTGTATCTGATTCTTTATAGTAATAACCCCCCCCCCCCCACACACACACACTCTGTAATTTTACACTCAGTGCATAGGATGAGGTGGGTTCTGGTCCACGAACGCCTAATAACATTCTTATCGTCTTTTAAGATGCAATAACGTTATTGGTCTCTTAAGATGACAAAGGACCCTTTGGCTTGCTTGCTTGCTTGCTTGCTTGCTTGTTTGTTTTTCTGCAACAAGTGCCATCGTTCCTGATCACCATTTTTCCCATAGCGGCTATGGCCAAGTGATCTCTAAAGAGCCGCCACCGCCTTTTAATCGTCTGCACAAAGTGGGAACGATCAGAATCCGAAAGCGCCTTTCCTTTCCCGCACAAGTGCACATTCCCAGAATGAAACCATCTCTCTCTCCCCTCCCTTCCGCGCTCCCTCCATTCTAAGCAGCTTCAGGGGGGCGGGCTCCCCTCTGCCACGTTATCAGCAAATCCTGGGAGCTCTCCCGTCTCTGCCCAACCTAGCACCCTCTGTCGAACTCACAATACACTCCCTGGGGCTAAAAGTTACAACCTGACATAGTGAAAACTTTTTTTTCTTTCGTAGAGCGTGGTTTTGCTTTTGGTTTTAAACTCGAGAGGCGCGCCTTTTTAATTTTATTTTTACACTTTGGGAAGATGAAGATGGGTGGGAGAGGAATAAAGCGAAGGAACTTTCACCGGGTCAAGTAACTTATGTGTGGGGGGGACGGGGACTAGGAGGAGGTCGGTCTTACCCCAGCCTTTCTTTGCTCTCCTCTGGGGTGAGCTGGTCGAAAGTTTTGGCTTCTTCTTTGCCCAGGAAGGCCTCGTGGTCGTACTGGAAGCTCTGGTTGTCTTCGTGCTGCCGATCGCTGAGCTCGGGCTCCGGATGAACTCCCCTCTCCTTCCTGAAAGTGGGGACGCCCAAGGACCCCCGGGTGCAAAGCGTCAGCAGCAGCCCCGCCGCGAGGTAGCGGAGAGGGGCTTCAGAGCCCATTGTGTGCACCGGGCAAAGGGCGATCTGTCGTGCAGGAGGTTGGGGGGGGGGGAGCGCGGCAACGTCGGGGCACTGCAAAGAACCGAAGCAGCAGAAACTTCAACTTTCTAGCAAGGCGGTGCAGGGTCAAGTCGACTCTTTGCGGGCTCCTCTCTCTGCAAAAGCCTGCCACGTGCTTAAGCGGAGTTCCCAGCCCAGCAGCACCAGCAAACGTGCCCCCTCGCCTTCTCTCTCTCTCTCCCTCCCCTCATGCACTTTAAAAAGATTCAACGTGGGATCCCACTCCTGCCCCCGATCCCTCCCCCAGCCCCCAATTGCACAAGGCCGGCTGGGAAAGTGTTGCTTTTAGGAACGCACAGGGGTGACCTAATTTGGGCCGGCCGATGGAATCCCCCCTTCCCAGCCAGTCAGGAGTGCGGTCGCAAACGATTGATCTCCCGTGCCCTTCCAAGATATTACGCCTCTTGCCATTGGACGGGAGCGTCTCTGTGGGCGGCGCCGAGAAGAGGCCGCTGGGCCGCCACGTTTGCAAGGCGGATCGGGTTTCTCCGGCGGGAGCCAGCAGAGAAAGAGAGCGGGAGGGGACGGGCTGCAACGTGGAAAAGGTCCCGGGGGAAGTTCCCGACTCCGACGTGGTGTGGGTTTGCTGGTGGCTTTGCGCGAAATGGATATCCTAGACCTATGTATGTTTGCATGGGAGGCAGTGAGTTCAAGAGGACTTGTTGCCCAGTAAACATGTACAAGATCGGTAGTTCAGCAATATTTGGAGAGCCAGAGGCCCCCCATACCTGCTCTAGAGAACCACTGACAGTGCTGGGTTAGAAAGACAATTTGCCTGGCCTGGTATAAAGCCATGTTAAGCCCATGACCTCCCACTGCCTAATCCGCGTTGCTACATTCCTCTTCCCACTTGCTATGGAGTAAGCCCCACGGAGCTCAATGGGACTTTCTTCTGAGTAGACTTGTATGGCATTTTACTGCTAATTAACAAAGTTAGGCAAAAAGATTGCTGTCCTTCAGTATCCATCCCCAACACATAAGCACTGGTTTGCCAATTGCAAACCGAATGCAAATTGCAAGAAAGCTTCCTGGTTCAGAAATTTGCCTGAGTTTACATGCACAGGAAGACTGGCTAGACTGAATTAAGCAATGACAGAAGGGTTTTCATAGACGCTTATGCAGCAATGAAGTCACTGTATTGTCTTGTAGATAGTCCCCTTTTGTTCTTTTCTTCTTTAAAACACAGTAAATCACTGGTTTCCAGAGCACAGGCAAATTCTGGGCTCTGAAGAAAGGAAATATACAGTGTGTATTAGTATATGGAAGGGTTATTTTCATAGGAGGTTAGAGTTGGGAGTTACCTTAGATGTCTTGTACTCCAGGCCCCCCTCCCCAGGTTGGTGTCTTGCAACTATAGAATTCGTGGCAGATGGCTACCTTCTTAAATACTTCCAAGCCAAGGAGAGCCAGCCACTTCCTCAGGGAGTGTTTCACTGCTGGGCAGCTCTCCCCATTCTTCCTGTCATTTCTCCTAAGGTTTAGGAGTTAGGAAGCTTCTCCTAATATACTTCATTGTGGAATATTCCCTTTGTTCACACTGAAAACTAAAAAAAAGATCTGCAGCAGTTAAGGATGGTTTCAATGTGCTTCTCTGTTGCATGCGAACCAGATGCAGAAAGTTCATGTAGGCCAACCCTCTTTCAATGCAAAAAAATTACAGTATCCTGGTAGATGGGACTTCCAACAGCCACAGCTTAAATTGGGGGGTGGGTGGGGGGAACCTTTGGCCCTTCAGGTGTTGCTGAACTGCAGCTCCCATCATCCCTGGCATTGGCCATGCTTGTCAGGGCTGATGGGAGTTGGAGTTCAGCAGCATCAGGAAGGCCAAATATTTATCACACCCGGCTTAAAACATCTGAAACAGCCTGTTCCACTGTCACATAGTTTGTATCATCTGGAATGTCTTCCTTATGTTTGGTCTCAGTCACTGGATATTCAAGTCCTACCCTCTGGAGTGACAGAAAACAAGTTTGCTCCATCATCTATGTGACAATGGTTCACATATTTGAAGGCGGTTGTCACATTGCCTCTTCATTGTCCTCTCCAGCATTCCCAGGTGGAATTTTAATTCCACTTCCACCTAATTGTAGAAGAGCAATGTTTCGGCAGGGCAATCTAGCACTGAAGCAACCATAGTAATTGGTGCTTTTTCAAATACTTTAATGAATATGCTTACGCACAATGTTGGCTGCGAGATATTCATAGCAGTTAAATTGTAAATATTGTTCACCCATGTTCAGTGAAAAAAATCCTTTTCCTAATCTACAGTTCTGCTAAATGACTCATCTGAGTTGCATGCACATGCAAGTGTTGCGTAAAACATTTCAAAAAATTGGTCTGAAACATAGGCTGCAATTTTGGTGGTGATAGGCTGAAGCAGCCGTCAGAAAATGGAGACGTATATAAACTTTTAATGGGAAACTGGTGTATTTAAGAGTTTATGGGGCGGAAAACAGTGCCGATAAGAGAGTATTGCTTACTTTTTGCAACTTTTCTCCTTCTGTTTCTAACTATATTTATTTCCCATCCTTTTAATATCCCCACTTATTTGCTTCTTCTTTCCTGATGGGTTTAGTGAAATCAAGGCATTTTATGGTTGACACTGAACAATGTTTTGTGTTTTCTGTACCCAGAACTGTTTTCTTACAGGATGGAGCTCAGGAAATTATAACCAAGAGTTCAAAAATCTGCTTACAAAAATGTGCAGGTGGAGCAGATTCGTAAGATTGCAGAAGCAGATGCATGCAACCACCAGAAACCTAAAACAGAATATTACTCTGCCTAATGGTGGGGCTTGCTTTACCGAGTAACATATTTGCATAACTGCAGAATAGATCTTCTGATCACATAGGTCGCAATCAATGATGGAAGAAGCAGCCTGCTTTCTATTACAATACCTCTAACTGATCTACTTCCATGGTATCAGGAACCACATTCTTCTCAGTCTCCTCTCCCATTTCCCTAATTAAGAACACTGGTTAGAAAGGAAGTGACGCAGGTAGTGCTGGCTGGTCCATTAAAGCAAATGGAGCACTGTCCCAGCCATCTCATTCTTCCCTCAGCCAGCCCCCGCCAGTGGTGAAGCTACCTGCTCCATCACCGGGGGCGGCGTACATCCATGCCCCAGGGGGCGTGGCGCGCATCGGGGGGTTGTGCGGCAAGCAGCGGGCGTCCCGGGGAGGCGCGCTGAGCGCCCTGGGGGACAGGGGTGGCTGCGATGGCACCCCCCAGATGGCACCTGGGGCGGACCGCCCCCCACCTTCGTCCACCAGTGGCCCCTGCCTACCTCCTTTCTCACTTGCAACTGATCCAGGGAGCAGCACACCCTGTCCCCTTCCTCCTCCTCATTCTCAGTGTTGCCCTGTAGAACGCAGCATGGGAGGAGGATGGGGGCAAAAGTAGAATTAGCTGGCTCTGTCCTTGGCTCTGGCTCCATCTACTGTTGGGCTCCCAGCCTTCCGCCCCACCAGTCTCAATGGGCACCAGTCTCCACTGAGAAAGGTGTGAGCCATGAGCAAGCACATGTTGTGTGTTCTCTTTAACAAAAGCTGAGCATTCACCATTCTGTTCGATTTTGAGACTAGAAGGAACATTTCAACCCTTCCAGCCAGACAGCAGGAATTGACAATGGGAGGTCACTATTGCTGCACTTTCACATGCTGCCAGGAGTTGCCTGCCTTTCCTTAGTCCACAGATTCTACCATAACAGTTAAGAGTGGCAGTCCCAAAGGAACTGCTCAGAAGCAACTTTGGGCCCAGAGCCAGCAGCAGCATCTCTGCCATCGCTGCTTCACCAACTCCATCTCTCAAGAGCACAGCCAGAGGCAGGTTGCTGCTGCTGCTTCCCTGTGAGAATCCAAGCTCCCCAAAATACTGCATGTTAATAGCAGAAAGATGCATTGAGGGTATAGCAAGATGTATGAAAATTGGCTTGCAAAGCTTGGTACATTTGGACCTGGAAATGTCACGGGAACCTGAGAGCCAGGGCGCTGTAGTGGTTAGCTTTACTGGAACTTCCTCCCAACTGAAATAGTGTAATCCTTCATGCAGGCTATATTTAGGTGACAGGTGAAAGTCTATTTATTTGTCCAAGCTACTGAAAGCTACTGTTGTTGATGCTGGTTGTAGTTGAGGCATAATGTTGCAGTTGTGATTTATTATATGCACAACATACATTTACATACTGTTTATAATGTATGTTGTGTTGTGTTGTAAGCCACCCTTTGCTCTGATCTGGAGGAATGGAGAGTATAAAAACTCATAAAAAATAAATAAACCATTAAGAGTGCATGACAATGGTGCAGTCACTATCTAACTTACCTCATAGAGTTCTTGTGAGAATAAAGTGAGAAGTGGGGGAAGAAAGAATGTACAGTGTCTTCAGCTCCTTAGAGCAGTGTTTCCCAAACTTTTTTGGGCAACGGCACACCTGTTTACTGAAAAAAAATCTCACGGCACACCACCATTAAAGCCCCGCCCCGTGACGTCAGCGCGCAGCGTCACGCCGGGAGGGACGCAGGAAAGTGAAAGTTTTTTCCCTCCCCCTTGCCGGGGAACCTCCAAGCTTTGGGGGTGGGAGGAGGCAGCAGAGCGAGGGACTGAGGGACGGCGGCAAGTCCCGCCCCCTCGCCAGACTCCCTGCTCGGCTCGGCTCACTAGCCAGGGGGGCAGTGGAGAGAGAGCCGCAATTACCATAAAGCTCCTCTCCCTCCGCTTCGCCAAGCTGTCAAAGCCCGGCAGCAGCAGGCGCAGCCAGACCCCCGCCAGCCAGCCCGCCCGCCCGGCTTCCTCTCCTTTTTTTGCCCGCGGCAGAAGGCTTTGCTCTCCCCCTTCTGCGACCTCCTCGCCAAGCCGAGCGAGCACGGGCTCCCTAACCCGTGGATTTTAGTAGGGGCAGAGAGCTGCTAGTGCGAGCGCGCCCCCCGCCCATGTTGCGCCCGGTGCGGCCGGCACCCCTGGCACCCCCCACGCTACGCCACTGGCGGCAACTGAGGCGGCGGCGGCTGTTGTGGTGGTGGCGGCGATAGCGGGCGGAGGAGGGGGCGGCGGCGGGGCTTGATGAGCCGTCGCCGGGAGTTGCTGCTGCTGTTGTTGCTGCTGCTGCCCGGACATGCCAGCCTCCTCCTCCTCCGCTGTCTCGCGCTCCTCCCTTTTGCACGCGCTGCCCCGCCGCTCGGCACCACCACCGCGGAGCCGCCCCCGGCTCGACGCGGATCCTCGCCGCCGCCGCCTCTCACCGCC